TGTGTGGTGTTGGTGTAGTGGTGTGTGTGGTGTTGATGTAGTGGTGTGTGTGGTGTTGATGTAGTGGAGTGTGTGGGGTGTTGGTGTAGTGGTGTGTGTTGTGTTGATGTAGTGGTGTGTGTGTGGTGTTGATGTAGTGGTTTGTGGCGTGTTGATGTAGTGGCGTGTGTGTGGTGTTGATGTAGTGGTGTGTGTGGTGTTGGTGTAGTGGTGTGTGTGGTGTTGGTGTAGTGGTGTGTGTGGTGTTGGTGTAGTGGTGTGTGTGGTGTTGGTGTAGTGGTGTGTGTGGGATGTTGGTGTAGTGGTGTGTGTGTGGTGTTGATGTAGTGGTGTGTGTGGTGTTGATGTCGTGGGTGTGTGTGGTGTTGATGTAGTCGTGTGTGTGGTGTGTGTGGTGTTGATGTAGTGGTGTGTGTGTGGTGTTGATGTAGTGGTGTGTGTGTGTGGTGTTGGTGTAGTGGTGTGTGTGGTGTTGATGTAGTGGTGTGTGTGGGGTGTTGGTGTAGTGGTGTGTGTTGTGTTGATGTAGTGGTGTGTGTGTGGGGTTGATGTAGTGGTTTGTGGCGTGTTGATGTAGTGGCGTGTGTGTGGTGTTGATGTAGTGGTGTGTGTGGTGTTGGTGTAGTGGTATGTGTGGTGTTGGTGTAGTGGTGTGTGTGGTGTTGGTGTAGTGGTGTGTGTGGTGTGTGTAGTGGTGTGTGTGGGATGTTGGTGTAGTGGTGTGTGTGTGGTGTTGATGTAGTGTGTGTGTGGGGGTGTGGTGTAGTGGTGTGTGTCGTGTTGATGTAGTGGTATGTGTGTGGTGTTGATGTAGTGGTTTGTGTCGTGTTGATGTAGTGGTGTGTGTGTGGTGTTGATGTAGTGGTGTGTGTGGTGTTGGTGTAGTGGTGTGTGTGGGGTGTTGGTGTAGTGGTGTGTGTGGGGTGTTGGTGTAGTGGTGTGTGTTGGGGTGTTGGTGTAGTGGTGTGTGTGTGGTGTTGATGTAGTGGTGTGTGTGGTGTTGTTGTAGTGGTGTGTGTGGTGTTGATGTAGTGGTGTGTATGTGGTGTTGAAGTAGTGGTGTGTGTGTGGTGTTGATGTAGTGGTGTGTGTGGTGTTGATGTAGTGGTGTGTGTGTGTTGATGTAGTGGTGTGTGTGCGGTGTGTGTGTGGTGTTGATGTAGTGGTGTGTGGTGTTGATGTAGTGGTGTGTGCGTGGTGTTGATGTAGTGGTGTGTGTGGTGTTGATGTAGTGCTGTGTGTGGGTGTTGGTGTAGTGGTGTGTGTGGTGTTGATGTAGTGGTGTGTGTGGTGTTGATGTCGTGGGTGTGTGTGGTGTTGATGTAGTCGTGTGTGTGGTGTGTGTGGTGTTGATGTAGTGGTGTGTGTGTGGTGTTGATGTAGTGGTGTGTGTGTGTGGTGTTGGTGTAGTGGTGTGTGTGGTGTTGATGTAGTGGTGTGTGTGGGGTGTTGGTGTAGTGGTGTGTGTTGTGTTGATGTAGTGGTGTGTGTGTGGGGTTGATGTAGTGGTTTGTGGCGTGTTGATGTAGTGGCGTGTGTGTGGTGTTGATGTAGTGGTGTGTGTGGTGTTGGTGTAGTGGTATGTGTGGTGTTGGTGTAGTGGTGTGTGTGGTGTTGGTGTAGTGGTGTGTGTGGTGTTGGTGTAGTGGTGTGTGTGGGATGTTGGTGTAGTGGTGTGTGTGTGGTGTTGATGTAGTGGTGTGTGTGGGGTGTTGGTGTAGTGGTGTGTGTCGTGTTGATGTAGTGGTATGTGTGTGGTGTTGATGTAGTGGTTTGTGTCGTGTTGATGTAGTGGTGTGTGTGTGGTGTTGATGTAGTGGTGTGTGTGGTGTTGGTGTAGTGGTGTGTGTGGGGTGTTGGTGTAGTGGTGTGTGTGGGGTGTTGGTGTAGTGGTGTGTGTTGGGGTGTTGGTGTAGTGGTGTGTGTGTGGTGTTGATGTAGTGGTGTGTGTGGTGTTGTTGTAGTGGTGTGTGTGGTGTTGATGTAGTGGTGTGTATGTGGTGTTGAAGTAGTGGTGTGTGTGTGGTGTTGATGTAGTGGTGTGTGTGGTGTTGATGTAGTGGTGTGTGTGTGTTGATGTAGTGGTGTGTGTGCGGTGTGTGTGTGGTGTTGATGTAGTGGTGTGTGGTGTTGATGTAGTGGTGTGTGCGTGGTGTTGATGTAGTGGTGTGTGTGGTGTTGATGTAGTGCTGTGTGTGGGGTGTTGGTGTAGTGGTGTGTGTGGTGTTGATGTAGTGGTGTGTGTGGTGTTGATGTAGTGGTGTGTGTGTGGTGTTGGTGTAGTGGTGTGTGTGTGATGTTGATGTAGTGGTGTGTGTGGTGTTGATGTAGTGGTGTGTGTGGTGTTGATGTCGTGGGTGTGTGTGGTGTTGATGTAGTCGTGTGTGTGGTGTGTGTGGTGTTGATGTGGTGGTGTGTGTGTGGTGTTGGTGTAGTGGTGGGTGTGGTGTTGATGTAGTGGTGTGTGTGGGGTGTTGGTGTAGTGGTGTGTGTTGTGTTGATGTAGTGGTGTGTGTGTGGTGTTGATGTAGTGGTTTGTGGCGTGTTGATGTAGTGGTGTGTGTGTGGTGTTGGTGTAGTGGTATGTGTGGTGTTGGTTTAGTGGTGTGTGTGGTGTGTGTGGTGTTGGTGTAGTGATGTGTGTGGGATGTTGGTGCAGTGGTGTGTGTGTGGTGTTGATGTAGTGGTATGTGTGGTGTTGGTGTAGTGGTGTGTGTTGTGTTGATGTAGTGGTGTGTGGTGTTGATGTAATGGTTTGTGTCGTGTTGATGTAGTGGTGTGTGTGTGGTGTTGATTTAGTGGTGTGTGTGGTGTTGGTGTAGTGGTATGTGTGGTGTTGGTGTAGTGGTGTGTGTGGGTGTTGGTGTAGTGGTGTGTGTGGGGTGTTGGTGTAGTGGGGTGTGTGTGGTGTTGATGTAGTGGTGTGTGTGGTGTTGATGTAGTTCTGTGTGTGGGGTGTTGATGTAGTGGTGTGTGTGGTGTTGGTGTAGTGGTGTGTGTGTGTGGTGTTGATGTAGTGGTGTGTGTGGTGTTGATGTAGTGGTGTGTGTGTGGTGTTGATGTAGTGGTGTGTGTGGTGTTGATGTAGTGGTGTGTGTGTGGTGTTGATGTAGTGGTGTGTGTGGTGTTGATGTAGTGGTGCGTGGGGTGTGTGTGGTGTTGATGTAGTGGTGTGTGTGGTGTTGATGTAGTGGTGTGTGTGTGGTGTTGATGTAGTGGTGTGTGTGTGGTGTTGGTGTAGTGGTGTGTGTGTGGTGTTGATGTAGTGGTGTGTGTGGGGTGTTGGTGTAGTGGTGTGTGTCGTGTTGATGTAGTGGTGTGTGTGTGGTGTTGATGTAGTGGTTTGTGTCGTGTTGATGTAGTGGTGTGTGTGTGGTGTTGATGTAGTGGTGTGTGTGGTGTTGGTGTAGTGGTGTGTGTGGGGTGTTGGTGTAGTGGTGTGTGTGGGGTGTTGGTGTAGTGGTGTGTGTTGGGGTGTTGGTGTAGTGGTGTGTGTGTGGTGTTGATGTAGTGGTGTGTGTGGTGTTGATGTAGTGGTGTGTGTGGTGTTGATGTAGTGGTGTGTATGTGGTGTTGAAATAGTGGTGTGTGTGTGGTGTTGATGTAGTGGTGTGTGTGGTGTTGATGTAGTGGTGTGTGTGTGTTGATGTAGTGGTGTGTGTGTGGTGTTGATGTAGTGGTGTGTGTGTGGTGTTGATGTAGTGGTGTGTGGTGTTGATGTAGTTGTGTGTGGTGTTGATGTAGTGGTGTGTGCGTGGTGTTGATGTAGTGGTGTGTGGTGTTGATGTAGTGCTGTGTGTGGGGTGTTGGTGTAGTGGTGTGTGTGGTGTTGATGTAGTGGTGTATGTGATGTTGATGTAGTGGTGTGTGTGTGGTGTTGGTGTAGTGGTGTGTGTGTGGTGTTGATGTAGTGGTGTGTGTGGTGTTGATGTAGTGGTGTGTGTGGTGTTGATGTCGTGGGTGTGTGTGGTGTTGATGTAGTCGTGTGTGTGGTGTGTGTGGTGTTGATGTAGTGGTGTGTGTGTGGTGTTGATGTAGTGGTGTGTGTGTGGTGTTGGTGTAGTGGTGTGTGTGGTGTTGATGTAGTGGTGTGTGTGGGGTGTTGGTGTAGTGGTGTGTGTTGTGTTGATGTAGTGGTGTGTGTGTGGTGTTGATGTAGTGGTTTGTGGCGTGTTGATGTAGTGGCGTGTGTGTGGTGTTGATGTAGTGGTGTGTGTGGTGTTGGTGTAGTGGTATGTGTGGTGTTGGTGTAGTGGGGTGTGTGGTGTTGGTGTAGTGGGGTGTGTGGTGTTGGTGTAGTGGTGTGTGTGGGATGTTGGTGTAGTGGTGTGTGTGTGGTGTTGATGTAGTGGTGTGTGTGGTGTTGGTGCAGTGGTGTGTGTTGTGTTTATGTAGTGGTGTGTGGTGTTGATGTAATGGTTTGTGTCGTGTTGATGTAGTGGTGTGTGTGTGGTGTTGATTTAGTGGTGTGTGTGGTGTTGGTGTAGTGGTATGTGTGGTGTTGGTGTAGTGGTGTGTGTGGGGTGTTGGTGTAGTGGTGTGTGTGTGGTGTTGGTGTAGTGGTGTGTGTGGTGTTGGTGTAGTGGTGTGTGTGGGGTGTTGGTGTAGTGGTGTGTGTGTGGTGTTGATGTAGTGGTGTGTGTGTGGTTTTGGTGTAGTGGTGTGTGTGGGGTGATGGTGTAGTGGTGTGTGTGTGGTGTTGATGTAGTGGTGTGTGTGGTGTTGATGTAGTGGTGTGTGTGGTGTTGATGTAGTGGTGTGTATGTGGTGTTGAAGTAGTGGTGTGTGTGTGGTGTTGATGTAGTGGTGTGTGTGGTGTTGATGTAGTGGTGTGTGTGTGTGTTGATGTAGTGGTGTGTGTGTGTGTTGATGTAGTGGTGTGTGTGTGGTGTTGATGTAGTGGTGTGTGTGTGGCGTGTGGTGTTGATGTAGTGGTGTGTGTGTGTTGATGTAGTGGTGTGTGTGTGTGGTGTTGATGTAGTGGTGTGTGTGTGGTTTGATGTAGTGGTGTGTGTGGTGTTGATGTAGTGGTGTGTGTGGGGTGTTGGAGTCGTGGTGTGTTGATGTAGTGGTGTGTGTGGTGTGTTGGTGTAGTGGTGTGTAGTGTGTTGATATAGTGTTACAGTAGTAAGGTGTGTGTAAAGCGTGTTGGGGTAGTGGTGTGTGTGTTGTGTGGGGGGTGGTAGTGTAGCGTTAGCGCGCTGCACTTATAACCCTAGTTTTATTCCTGCTCACGGCCAATACCAGTGGCGATTATCTGAACCGGTCTTGGGCCTCCCCTGTGTCGATTCAGCCTCAAATGAGTACCTAGTGTGGCGTGTAAACATCACCACTGGGGAGACAAAGGCAGCCGGGCGTGGTGTTGACCACCCATCTCCTCATGTGCCGTGCCAGCATTCATAGGTGCTTGCGAACAGCACTTGCCCCAACAGTCTGTGCAGGCTATACGGGGGATCTTTGTCTTTGTATGGTGTGTGTATGGTGTGTGCAGGCGTGGCTTAATGAGAAGCTTTGCCCGGATTTGCTGCCTCAGCACTCGGAGCTCACAGAGTGTGTGGTGGAGCAGCTCACGCATATGGTGGGGCCTGCACACATCCCTAACTCACCCAGCTTACTCACTCCCTCTCAATCAACCCCTCTCACTCACCCCTCTCACACACCTTGCTCATTCAAACCCTTCACACACACCCCTCACTCGCCCCTCTCACCCCTCTCACACCCCTTGCTCACTCACATCCTTCACTAGCCCCTCTCACCCCTCTCACCATTTACACCCCTCTCTTAAACTCCTCATGCTCCTCACCCGCACCCCTCACAAACCAATCACTGACCCCTCTCACTCGCCCCCCACTCACACCCCTCGGTGTGTGTGAGTAGGAGGGCAACCTACGGAGGGTTCAGCGTGCGGACGTGAAGTCGTCTCTCCACCGCATGGAGCTCGAGAGAATCCGCTTCATGCTGAGCTCATACCTGCGCACGCGCCTCAACAAAGTGAGCGTGTGGCACACCCCCATGATGCACACCACACCACCACGCAGCATGTGTATGCTGTGGCATCAACCTCTGGCCCTGCTGACATGGATCTGGTGTAGGGTGTGGAGTTTGTGGTGTGTATGGTGTAGTGAGTGTGATGTGTGGTGTGTATGGGGTTGTGTGTGGTATAGTGTGTGTGTACACCTTTGGGGTGCGACAGGGATGTCCTCTGGCTCCCACATTATTTAACATCTATTTTGACCGCGTAGTTCGTGAAGCCTTCAATAGCTGTACCGGGGGAATTTCCATTTGGTACAGATATAATGGGAGGCTGATCGATGCCCGGGTGCGATCAAGGGATGGCTCCCTATTGGTCAACCACGTTATGTATGCCGATGATTTGGTAATAGCTGCTCATTCAGAAGAGGAGTTGGAGACGCTGCTGCTGAGACTGGAGCGTGCCACCAAGAGGTGGGGCCTTACCATCAGCCCCACCAAAACTAAGCACCTGCCTGGGTATTTTGTACCCCACAACTCCCAATTGGTGATGGGGCAGTTGTGGAGAGAGTGGAGAGTTTCCCATACCTGGGCAGTGTGCTTATGACCGGCTCCAGTTTATCAGCAGAGGTCTCACTCCGAATCAGTCGAGCGGCAATATCTTTTCATCGGTTGCGTAACGCTGTGTGGAAGCTACCTGGTCTGTCGCTCCGCACGAAGCTTCAGGTCTTCTCGGCCACGGTCATTCCCTCCCTTCTCTACGCTTGCGAAACGTGGACCCCCCTGGTGGAGCATCTTCGCCGGTTGGAAACATTTAGGTTGGCCTGCCTACGATCCATCTTGGGTTTAACCAGGCTGGATTGTGTGAGGAGCTCACAAATCCTTGAAAGATCTGGGCAAAGTCCCATCAGTGAGCTCCTCCGGCAGGCAAGGCTGCGTTGGCTGGGTCATGTAGCCCGCATGCCCAGCCACCGCATGCCTAAACAGCTTTTGTTCGGCCGGATCGAGGGGGCTAGACGGGCGCGGCACGGGCTGGAGAAGAGATGGAGTGATGTGGTACAGGAGGACGTGGAGCTGAGTGGACTTGCCGATGACTGGTACCAGCGGTGTCAAGATCGGCCTCAGTGGAGGAGGCTCGTGAAGGATGCTACTGCACAGTTGGAGGCAGTCGCCCTCCAACAACAACGGAGGGCGGAGGAGCGACGCTCACAACAACGAGCGGAGCGCCGGGTGGCTAAAGCACAGCAAGTTGGTACAGTAGGGGGCACAGGTGGTGCATCAGCCAGTCATCTCGGTCATCTCGGTCAGTCGACCCGTGGCACCTGGGTCTGCCCCGTGACCTCCTGCCAGCGGGCGTTCGACACTTCACGTGGCCTCAAGGTGCACTTGGCCTGGCACAAGCATCGTGGTGACGTCACCGCTACTTAGTGGCGAATGGCGGTTGTTGTTGTTGTTGTGTATATAGTGTGTATGTTGTGTTGGTGTTGTGTGTGTATGTCAATGTATTGATGTGTATAGTAGTTATGTGTGTGATGGGGTTGTGTGGCATTGATGTATGTGGTGTAGATGGTGTGCGTGGTGTGTCCACGGTGTGTGCGGTGTAGATCGAGCGCTTCTACACACACGTGCTGGAGAGGGAGAAGTCTCGCACCGAGGGGCAGCCCTCACTCCTGTCCCCCGAGGAGTTTGCCTTTGCCATCGAGTGAGATCCCTCACCTCATTACACCTCCTTCAGCAACACCTCACACATCATGAGCACATTACCTCATTGTCAACACACGCTTAAGCATAGACAAAAGACAGAGACAAAGATCCCCCATGTAGCCCAAATGGACTATCGGGGCAAGTGCTGTAAGCGAGCACCGATTGAAGGCTGGCACGGCACACAAATGGGTGGGTGGCCAGAACTGCGCCTGGCCATCTTAGTGTCCCTAATCACGATATTTACACACCTCACCAGGTACTAATTTGAGGCTGTGTCGACCAAGGGCAAGCCTAAGACCGGTTCAAATATTCACCACTCTTATTGACCATGAGCGAGGATTTAACTCGGTTTGCCGGGTTTGTAGCACAGTGCGCTCTACCACTCCCTGCACTCAATCAGCTCATGTCATCACATACACCTTACACTACACCTCACACCACATCATCACCTTAACATTACCAGACCTCACATCACACCACTTCATCACCTTATCTCACACCTCATCATCACGTCTCTCACCTCGCACTATCTACGCCTCCTTAAAAGTCTCACACCATCTACATCTTCGCACATCTCACACCTCATCACCATAACCATAACCACTCATCATCAAACACTTCATCATCATCATCATCGTCACATCACCACACATCTCATAACCCATCACACCTCATAATCCAATCACATTTCCCACCATGCACTCCTATTGCCACAATTTCACACGCAAAACCACCGCATCACAATCACACATCACTCCTCGTCATCATCACATCATCCATACCTGTTCCCCCATTACTTCACCGCATCACGCATCAGACCTCACTTTAACCAATCGATATGTCACCACCCTCCAACACACATACACAGATCCTCTGTGAAGTCATACAGACTGTGGGCTTTGTTCATCTGGGCTTTGGTGTGTGCATGTGTAATGGGCGACTTCCGCGACACGTCGTGTCGAGGGTACTTCTTCTTTTATTACTCACACTGGGCACAACACAGGCCAACACTTATTCTTCCTCACACTGAGTACAACACTCGATATTAACGTCTCCACTGGCTACACACAGCCGATCACTCGGCGTGGTCCTATTGCCCTCACTCGGCTACACCGCTGGCTGGCAGCGTGACGATGACGGCGATGGAAACCAAGACCCCACACACGAGGCCCGAGCCCCGGGTCCGCTCCCCCTTATATACCCCCAGGCGTGGCTAGGCCCCGCCTCCGGCCACGCCCTCTCGTGGAACCTTCCAGCAGGTTCCGGGAGTATCTCGGCTAGCCCCACCTGTTACCTTTGCCCCAGGTACACCTCCTTCTCTGATTGGTTGGTACTTCACCGTGTCCTTACCCGTGATTCCCTTTCCGGCCAGCAGGTGTCGCCCTGTCATTACACATGTATATACGTGTTGAGTGTATACATCTGTCTTTGTGTTCAAACCTGTATATGTAAAAGTAACAGCTCTTTCCATATATGCCACATTTACTGAACTCTTTCAGTTGGTGGTTCTGAACGACAATGCGACCACACATCCAGTTCTTGTGAGCTGATGGTGTGGACATTGTTAAGATATGTTGTACGTGCAGTGCTGCACACTATTGTGCTGCAAAATCTACGTGTGTATATGTGCACACATGTCTCTGTATTTGTACACGTGTGTGATAAAAGGTGCAGTGGGGAGCAGTGGTCCAGCGGTTAGCGTATCGTGTTGTCACCCAGTGACCCAAGTTCGATTTCCACTCGCAGCCAACATCCGTGCCAACTGAACCGGTCCTGGGCCTTCCCGAGGTCAACTTGCCCTTAAACAAGCACCTAGTGCGATGTGTCAGCATAAACACCGGGGAGACAAAGGCAGCCAGGCATTGTGCTGACCACCCACCCTCTTGTGTGCCATGTTGGTAGCCCTTGCTGCGACAGCCTGTTAAAGCTAAAAGGGGGATCTTTGTGTTTGTGATTGAAGGTATGCTTCCAACATGGATAGATTCCTGAAGTCTGTGGCTCTGAGGCACATGCCACCCAACCTACAGGCCCTGGACCTCAGCAAAGCAGGTGAGTGTGCGAGAGAGGGGAGTGGTAGTGCATCGGTTAGCGCACTGCACGAAGAACCTGGCAACCCGAGGTCAATTCCTGCTCACGGCCAATACAAGTGACGATTATCTGAATCGGTTGTGGGCCTCCCCTAGGTTGAGTGTGATGTGTAATGGTCGCCACTGGGGGGAGACAGGCGGCTGGACGTGGTGTTGGCTACCCACCCCCTCGTGTGCCATGCCAGCCTTCATAGGTGCTTGCTAAAAACACTTTCCCCAACAGTCTGTTAAGGTTGTATGGGGTATATTTGTCTTTGGAGTGTAGTATGAGTCTGTTAGGGTATGGTTGGATTGTTGCTTGAGAGTGCAGGCTGTGTATGTTTGTGTGCTGTGTGTGTGTTTAGCGTCGTGTGTGAAATCGCAGGGTACATGTGTGTGTGTTGGTTTATGTCGGTTAGTGTCTTTACCCACTCAGCCTTAAATGAGTACCTGGTGTGGTGTGTAAACATCGCCGCTGGGGAGACAAAGGCGACCGGGCATTGTACTGGCCACCCACTCCCTTGTGTGCCGTGCCGGCCTTCATAGGTGCTATTTGCTTACAACATGTTGCCCCGAGAGTCAACACATGGGCATGTTGCATAGTGGGGACCTCCACTGGCAACCTAAAAAACTTCAAAGACTCCAAAACAACCTCGCACGCGTCGTCATTGCCCACACTCATCCCTGACTCGACTCACTTGCCTGTCTCCGTGCCCTCAACTGGCTCCCCATCGCCAGCAGGGTCATATACAAGATCGCCTGCCTCTGCCACAACGCCTTCACATCCGCCTGCCCGCCGTACCTTTCTTCATTACTGACGACTTGCAGCTCGGCACACGGCAGATGCCTGCGCAGCGCGACTCACGACCTCCTCTTGATACCAAGATCCAGGATGGTCATGTCTATGCGCCGCTTCTCGGTGGCAGCCCCAACAGTCTGGATCGCCGTCCCTCTGCACATTCCCAGCATCACCTCAATCGCCTCCTTCAAAAGACACTTAAAAACTCACCTCTATAACCACGCTTTCGAGCGACTCTGAGCTTGGCTCCGTGCCTCTGAGTTGCGGCCATTACGTCCGCAAATTTGTGCGCGTTATGAATCGCATTATTATTAAACGGGGGATCTTTGTTTTTGTGGCGTGACCCCACAGTGCCCCGGCCGGACGTGGGCGCATTCGTGTTCCTGCGCGTGCGCGAGCGGCAGGAGAACGTCCTCGTGGAGGCCGAGTCCAGCGAGCAGAGGTGACGGAACCAGGGATTGCGGGAGCAGGAGATACACACTCAACACGTAGCACACGTAGCACACGTAACACGTATCAAGTTGATGTCAGAATCTTTATTTAGATTGGAGGAGGAATCCGATGAGCTATCAAGCTCTTTTGCACAGATGTCCAGTCAGGGAGGGTCAGCAAGTTACGACTGCAAACAATACACAAACATGATAGGAGTGCAAAATAAAGAAAATGGTAAGCAGGTCACTAAATATAACGCGTAGGCTTTTGTGACCAATGTTATTTATAATACAAGTTTCGATTTAAAGCTTTCGTGACTGCAGGGATTCATCTTCTTGGTTCTTTCGGTAAAGTCACGTAGAAGGAAAATAATAAAATAATAAAAATAAAACATAATAAGAGTCTGCCTTCTCGACAGACCTGTTCTCCACCTGAAGACGGCTGCTTGCGTTGTGGCCGAAACGTCGTGAGAATGATTTTATTATGTTTTATTTTTATTATTTTCCTTCTACGTGACTTTACCGAAAGAACCAAGAAGATAATACAAGTTATTTGGAGTTAAATCGATTAAATATAAATGTGTTCTTAACCCAACACCACCCGACACAGACAATCAGTAAGGTTTGTCACGTAGACAAAACGTGCTAATTAATTACGACTTCAGCACACCAGTCTCATTCATCAAGATGGTGCAAGGTCACCAAAAACAACAAGAAAACAGTCCCAGACCACATCAAGATAACACCACACAGCAGCAGTCGTCGTCCCGCAATAAAATGGCCACATTAACATTGAACTATGTTGTGTGACCGTGTGAGGAGTTGAGAAGTCAAGAGACCAGGGTAGTCTCACTTGCGAGAGTGACCCCGGGTCCCCAAAACGACAAGAAATAAAATATTGCACCAACATAAATAGCTGTTAAATAAGTAATGCTCTGGACATAAGTTGACTCGAGCGGATTACGTTTAGACTGATCACAGCACAATTACAATTTTACAGAAAGATTAAACAGATTTAGGCTGACCGTTGTACTAATATGTAAACAGACGAGGATATACAAGTCGAATGCAATTGCAAGTGAAGTTATAAAGTATCGATAGCTTCGCACATACACACACATACACACGACACTACACTACATACTACACTACATACACGGCGATGATGCGTCAACTGATTTAGGACGAGCTTAAAGGAACATACATAGAATTCACGCATACAGACCACATACCATATAAACATTCACATACTAGACACCAGAGGTGTGGACTCGAGTCATGTGACTTGGACTCGAGTCAGACTCGAGTCATGAATTTGATGACTTCAGACTCGACTTGGACTTGCATAACAATGACTTTGTCCCACCTCTGAGGTGTGGACTCGAGTCATGTGACTTGGACTCGAGTCAGACTCGAGTCATGAATTTGATGACTTCAGACTCGACTTGGACTTGCATAACAATGACTTTGTCCCACCTCTGCTAGACACACACAATGCGTACGCACACACTACACGCTCGTCGGTGACGACTTCTGTGCCACCACAGATTGAGGAGCCTAGGTACTCGCTAACAGCACATTTGCCACCAGTTGATGTTGGCTGTGCGGGGGGTTGGTTGTCTTCATGTGTGCAGGGAATTTGTGGTGGACCTGGAGGAAGGCTCGCAGCACCTCATGCGCTACTCCACCGTGGCCCCACTGCTGCTCTCCTCTTCCATCCACCTCATCTAGCCCCCTGCCTCTTCCCTGTGTATTCCTTTCTCCCCATGTGGCCCTGTGCATCCCCGTGTCTTGTCGTGTAGCCCCGCATGGTCACGAGTATATTTGTGTATCCCCATCTCCCTCTGTATCCCTGTGTAGCCCCATATCTCCCCATGGCTCCCCATGGCTCCCTGTGATTGTGGGGGGTGGTCTGTGCTGTCACTTTCTAAATTCTTGAGCGATAATGGATGAGTGATGGAGGTGGTGTTCTACATTTCTTGCTCTCGTGGGTTTGTGCGAGTATTTCAAATTGGTTTGTGTGTTTTTAGTCTGATTAAAATAACAAAGCGATGAATATATCAGGTGTGGTGTGTTTTCTGTATTTGGTGTGGTGTGTGGTATGTCTGTGTGTGGGTGTTGTGGGAGCGGTAGTGGAGCGCTACAAACCTGGTGACCCGAGTTCGAATCCCATTCATGGCCAACACCAGTGATGATTATCTGAAATAGGACCTGGGCTTCCCCTAGGTCGGCTCAGCCTCAAATGTGTACCTGGTACGATGTGTAAGCATCGCTACTGGTGAGACAAAGGCGGTCGGGCATGGTGCTGGCCACCCACTCTTTCGTGTGCCGTCTCGGCCGTTTTCGGTGCTTTCTAACCGCACTTGCCCCAGCATTCTGTTAAGGCTATACGGGGGATCTATGTCGGATGTGTGCACGTAGTATGTATTGTGGTTTTGGTATGTTGTGTAGGCGTTGTGGATGCTGTGTTGTATCTATATACTGGACAGTAATACCTCTGTTATAAAGGAGCTTCGTTCCCAGAGGATCCGTTAACAAAGTCGGCCATAGAGTACCCATTCGCCCCCCCTATTTTTACAAGAAAATCGAAAAAAATCTTCAGAAATCATGCAAATCGATTTAAGAGAGTAAACTTTTCAACAATGTAGCGTTGTTAATGGGCTGCGTGCACTTACCTGCAGTTGCAGACACGGCCCATCAGGGGCAGTAACTTACACCGGCATGTGATCCGCTACATTCCCCAGCCCCAAAGCAGGAGGGGGCTGCGGGGTGTTCTGGGATCCCCCGAGACCCCCCTGGAACTCTGGAAGGGAGGCGTGGCCAGGGGCTAACACACCGGGGAGGTGTATAAAAGGCGGACGTCTGTCCGGGGCCAGTCCAAGACCGAAGCCAGAAGACCAGCTAGCCGAGGACCCTGAGACCCCTTTTCCCGTTGCCCTTGTCAGGGCCGAAACTCTGTGGGCCAGTGGTGAGACCCTGGAAACCCCCGGCCCGACGTCCTTGTCAGGGCTGGGTCCGAGTGGGGCAGTGGTCGGGACCCGCACCTTGGCTGGGTTGGGTCAGCGCAGCCTCCCCTAGGGCGCTCATAGCCGGAGGACTTGGAGCCCGTAGCCCCGTGACAGGGCACGCTAGTCCAGAGGCCATACCCCCCCAGGCAGTAGGTAAAAATGGCCGTTGCCCTTGTGAAGACTGTGACCGTTACCGTTTATTGGAATAAACGCGTTGGTGCCTCTACGAGTCGTCTCCGCTCTCCGTAACCCCACGACAACTGCATGTCCTGTAAACACAACCCAGTGTGGGTGGTGGTTCACATTACCAGCAGCCAGTCAGCGGAGCACTTAACCAGTCTTCCCTTTCCTGCCTGCCGTTGTTCAAGTTCCTCGTGATGGTAAAATTGCGTTGTGGATCTATTACCCTCATTACGTCATCCACGCGACCATCTCGTGTGAGTGTCCAATTCTCTGCCGGTTTTAGGAACCCACTGGAACTATGCACTTTTAAATCTAGGTTGAACATTTTTTTTTCTGATTCCTGTGTTTAGTTTGTTGTCCTTCCACCGCACCTCTGATTATTACGGTTGGCTACGTACTGCGCGAAAGAAGTTCAACACCTGTAGTGTAGTGGGTGTGTGGGGGTGTAGTGTAGTGGGTGTGTGAGGTTGTAGTGTAGTGGCTGTGGGGGTCTAGTGTAGTGGATGTGTGGCAGTGTAGTGTAGTGGGTGTGTGAGGGTGTAGTGGGTGTGTGGGGGTGTAGTGTAATGGGGGTGGTGAATGTCTCATCAGTTGGTCTAGCGACTATGGCGGAGCCAGGATTTTCAGGTAAGGGGGGCAATCTCTCCAGCAATGGAAAATTATAGAGGAGTTGTTACTAAGTAAGGACTTGACTTACTTTGCATTTTATTCGACGCGTGTGCGGCGATGGCGCAGCCATCGATCGAGGGTCGAATTCGATCGGCATTGCGCTCGCTGAAGGTGTTTGCCTTCAGGGAAGTCGTGTACTGTATACACAACTGCACACAATTCTGTGAGTCACTTCTAACTGCTTTGCCGTTACTTATTGTCAATTATGGACTCAGACTATGGTCCTATCATCAACATAGATTCCCTGGCACATAATAATGTGCTACACAGTGGCAGTGGGGGTCGCAAAATGACGATTTATTACTAACTAGCTTTACTACCCGGCTTCGCCCGGGACTTGGATTCACCACACCCGGCCGCCTTTGTATCCCCAGTGGCGATGTTCACACACCACACCAGTTAATTGTTTGAGGCTGAGTCGACCTAGGGGAGGCCCAGGACCGGTTCAAATAATCGTCACCGGTGGTGGCCATGAGCGGGAATCGAACTCTGGTAGCCGGGTTTATAGCGCAGCGCGCGAATCGCTACGCAGTCGCTACAGAATCTTCCGGGGAAAAAAAACACCGTATTGCAATGCTGTGTGCAAAAATCCCAGTGTGATGCAAGTCAAACAATAACAACCATAAGACAATTTAGATTAAAGTTATCAGGCCAACTCCGCACTTCCGCAAGAAACATGGCTTAACCATATGTTTTCGAAATCACCAAAATAAAGCTATAAAAACAATGTAACAACAGTAATCATAGGAACTGTGATTCAAATTTAACAATAAACGATATACATAACATGTACGACCAAACTTGCAGCCATAGCTGGCAGCATGACACTCCCAGTGTATGATGTGTGAGTGAGTCAGCGTATGATGAGTGAGTGTATGATGAGTGAATCAGTGTATGATGTGTGAGTGAGTCAGTGGTTGTGTGAGTGTATGATGAGTCAGTCAGTGTATGATGTGTGTGTGAGTCAGTGTAAGATATGAGTGAGTGTATCACGACCTCCTCCACGCCATCGCGGCCTCCTCCACGCCATCACGGCCAAGAGGCTGCGTCATCGCAGGAGCTTCTCCGCCGAGAGATGCGAGAGCCGCTGCCTCTTGCGGGGCCGCCGAGGCTGCACGCCCAGCGCCTCGTCCCTCGTCCTCCGAGCCCGAAGCGGCCCTGGAGCTCAAGCTCCGGCCGGCCCCGGGCAAGCCGAGCCCCGCCGCCGAGCCAGGCGAGACTGAGGCTCCCCGGGGCACCAGGCCGCAGTGCTGGGACTCCACCACGACCATTGTCACCCCCTAACCCCTCACACACTCATTCCCTCACACACTCCCCCACACACCCACTCATTCCCTCACACACTCACCCCCTAACCCCTCACACACTCATTCCCTCACACACTCACCCCCTAACCCCTCACACACTCATTCCCTCACACACTCCCCCACACACTCACTCATTCCCGCACACACTCACCCCCTAACCTCTCACACACACTCATTCCCTTCCACACTCCCTCACACACTCATTCCCAACACATTCGCCACTCGGGTCGCCGCTTTCCACAGCGAGCGAGGAGGCAGCCATCTTCGGCGGCCATCTTGTATAGTAGCCAAATACTCTAAACCAGTGGTTCTTAACCTGGGTTCGATCGAACCCCAGGGGTTCGGTGAGTCAGTCTCAGGGGTTCGGCGGAGGTTTTAGACACACACCCGACTCATGATTCGTGATGACCCGTCCGGCTTGGCCATCATTGGCTGCAAGTGATCACGCTACATCGCTTGGCCTATCTGTGCTGCAGGGAATTTGGTGCGCTCGATAGTCGACTTGTGACTGTCGTGATGGTACGTCGTGTGATTTCTTTCTTAATATTTTAATCCCTTCATACTAACAATGTCGAGCAAAAAAGAAAGTGGTCGGACGAATGTGTACAATATGGATTCACATGTATAACGGAACGTGATGGGAGTCAGCGTCCTAACTGCATGATTTGCAATGCCAAGTTGAGCAATTCTAGTCTAGCACCGGCAAAACTAAGGGAACACTTCCTTAAGCTGCATGGAGATGGGGAATACAAGAACACAACGCTCGCTGAATTCAAGGTGAAGAGAGCCAGATTCGATGAAAAGGCTACTCTGCCTATTCTCGGCTTTGTGCCCATCAACAAACCGATCCTCACAGCATCGTACGAAGTTGCTTACCTGATCGCAAAGCAGGGCAAACCACACACCATTGGTGAAACACTCATAAAACCAGCTGTGTTGAAGATGGCGAATATCATGCTGGGAAAAGCGGCTGAAGTTAAGTTGTCCCAAATTCCTCTTTAAATGACACCATCAGCGACAGAATAGAGGACATGAGCAAAGACATCTTGGCTCAAGTAGTTGCAGATCTGATTTCAAGCCCGGCAAAATTCAGCCTCCAACTCGACGAGACCACAGACGTTTGCAATCTAAGTCAGCTTGCTGTATTCATGCGCTATGTGAAAGACGACGTGATAAAGGAAGATTTTTTTATTTTGTAAGCCTCTTACAACAACAACTAAGGCAGCCGATGTGAAGAAACTTGTGGATGACTTCTTCAAAGACAACAATCTTTCGTGGGATATGGTTTCTGCAGTTTGTTCGGACGGAGCTCCAGTCATGCTGGGAAGAAAGTCTGGTTTGGTGCGCTAGTGAAAGCCGATGCACCACACATCATTGTTACGCATTGTATTCTGCACAGGCATGCGTTGGCAACAAAAACCTTGCCTCCAAAACTGACAGAAGTATTAAAAATTGTAGTGGAATGTGTGAACTATGTGCGAAATAGTGCTCTGAGGCACCGCATCTAGAAATGGGCTCTGAATTCGAGGTACTTCTGTACCATTCTAACTTTCGGTGGTTATCCTGGGGACAGGTGCTGAATCGTGTTTTTGCCATGCGTATGGAATTCGCCTTGTTTTTGCAAGAGCACCAACATTGTCATGCAGATTGCTTCAAAAATTCTGAGTTCATTCTCATTTTAGCGTACATGGCTGATATCTTCGCAGCTCTCAATCATCTCAATCAGCAGATGCAGGGCGGTGGAGTCAACATCATTGAAGCGGAAGAAAACCTGAAGGCTTTTCAAAAAAAGCTACCGTTATGGAAACGACGAACAGAGAACGATAACTTCGCAAACTTTCCCCTGCTGGACGACTATGTAAGTAAGATCGAAGATGTATCTGGAATCG